ACAGAAGCATCAATGGGACCAGAACAACCTCTCTGGGTTGTTGAGCATCAGCAATGATGGATATTCATGTGGTAGATTTACTGGCAGGGTGAAAAGCCTGCAGTGTTTGGACTAGTGCTTGTTAAGGCAGACAGACTCTCAGTATAGTGCTTACCACAGACTTAACATACTTCACCCTGGCTACCCGAAAACAGCTTTTGGATGCATGTCCAGAAATTTGGCAAGAAACCCCTGATTTCCAGACTACAGTTATATATGGCCTGTTTAGCTGTATGCTTTTGTGCTAACTTGGCTCCAAGTTTTATAGAGCATCATCCTCATCCCACTTATCTCTAGCGGAGTTTATAGAAAAGAAGCGTAGTTGTTCTGCCTTTGGCTAGACAAGCCAACCCCTTCTCATCTCAGTAAACTCCTCCTGCTGCTTATCTTAGGAGCTTTTCTCATCACAGCTATTCAAGTTTGGTTTCTTTTTAGCATGGAAAGGCAGACTTGCAGGCACCATTTTAGTTAAGGTCTTGTGGATGGTCGTGCAATGACCTTTCTGAAGTACTCTAACGTTAAATGCAATTTTTTTGGTGTTTATGTTGTGATGGTGGCACACAACCAATCTATGACTAGTTTATGACCCCAGAACTTCCTCTTTTTCCCTTATTAACAGCTGATGAGATAATGAATTTAGCTCTTGACGTGGTATTGGCTGTCTGCTTGATTTCACTCCACTTGTTTCTCAGTCCTTAACCTCTTGTAGGACTTCATCCTCCTTTTCTGGTGACATTTCATAACACCGTGTCATCAGCTTATTTCATTAGTGCTGTCCTATTTGTGTCAGGGTGCTGATGAAAATACTAAAGGAAATCAACCCCAAGGTTAACCTTTGAAAAACTCCCTCCAAAGGAAGATCCTTCCTCAGCCTTAAAAGCAATCCAATACCGAGACCTTGAGATCCTCAAAGTGGCATCTTCAGTGACCTGCGAAAAGTTTACAGGTGAAAAACTCTCTCATGGCATGCTAAGGTGACATTGAGGGGGTTTGGCAAGGTGAAGGCAACAAATAAGCTCTCTTCAGAAATATACCCACATCTTTAGTATAGCATGTAAATATACCCACATCTTTAGTATAGCATGTAAGTTGCTGTTGGTAAAAGTGATCAAGATAATTGTCTCCTGCCGTTCTGGGATATTTTTTTTTTTCCAGTCCTCCTAAAGGCTTGGAAGCTCACAACTTTATGGACTGTATTCTCTTTGGTCAACCCAAGCTCATGGATCTCTTTTCTGGACCACCTGGGAAGCCACTTATCAGTTATGGCTTTGCTGTGTGACTACAAGCCCCAGGCTAGACATGACAAAGCTAATTAAGGTTCCCAGAGGGTCAGAGCTCTGCTGATGCAAATAGAGACTCTGCTGACTTGAAAAGATGAACCAACAGTAATGAATTTCATCTGGATAAAATCTGCATGGACACTACCGCTCTCCTGAGCCCTGTCTTGACACCGTTCAAATGTGGCAGCACCTGAGAGCTTTCCCCAGGAGGTCTGATTTGCTGAAGAGGATCATTTTGGGCTCCTTAGGAGGTCTAATAAAGTACAAGCCCTTTAGTTGCATCAATAGGTTTTTTCCTGCAGAATTTCAGTGCCAACACATACTTGTCTGTGATGTAATTTTTTTCCACTAATAAATCCACAAACCCTGCTGGATAACACTGCTGTTATGTTTGCAAAATACTACAGTGCTAATGGAGCTCTGCTCCTGTCATGTGTCTTGACAATACAAAATATTTGCCTCCTAAGCATAGATTTTCCAAGGTCTTCAAGCATTCCACTCTCCTTGGACTAATGGATATCTTGTTAAAGCTGTCAGGCTTCATTTCTGTTTTGGCAGATGCTGTGACCTTACAGGGGAACATTTTCTTTTAACACCATCAGTTAACAGTTTTAACACCGTCCTTGCCACTGGATTCTCCTATCCCAGGGCTTGCTGCTAATAGAGATGTAATCACGTTTTCCTGCACAGAATATAAAAACATCCATTTTATTATGCAAAAGAGGTCTGTTGAGTACACCACCACCAGTTTTAACAGCTGATTGCTTGTTCTGATTCTCAAGAGTGAGGTTTTACAAGACGGTTCTGTTTAAGAGTGGAAAATTGTATCTTTAGGGTGTGCTCTGCACAAAACAGCCTCCTTGCACACAGGACACTGGAGAATGAGGTACGTACTGTGCACTTGAAATTGAGCCCTTTAAAACTGGCACGGGATACTCAGTGTTGTCTGAGTATCATGAATCACATTCATGACTCTCAGATAAAATGAGCTTTGACTTCATGTTGCTTGTTAAAATAAGAAATGTACATTCAGTATTTCATTTTCACTCGCTGCACTTCATAGTGCAGCCAAAACTAATGTTTTTTTGAATCATTATTTCATATTTATCTGAACAAAGTCTGTATGTATAGTATTTTATAACAATATGGCTTATTTTGTCTATATTAAAAGAAAAAAATTACTGTGTCTATCTGGAATGTGAGGAAAAAAAGGATTTCTTACACTGCAGCACACTTTCAATGTGTGATTTGAAATCTGACTGCAGTCACCTAATAGCTTGTTCTCTTCCAATTCTGCTTTATTCTTTTCATCTTCCCCTCCTTCCCTTCGTCATCTCTTTATTTCTATTTCCCCCTTCCTCCCTTTCCCCTCATTTCCCCTGTTTTTCCTGTATTTCTTTCCCTCTATTTCTTCTTCCCTTTTGCTTTCCTCATTTTCTTTCACCATTTCTTTTCCCCCCTTTATTCCCCTCCCTCTCTTCTCCCCCTTCTTCCCACCCTTTCCCACCTTTCCCCGGATTTCTTTTTCCCTCTGTTTCTTTCTTTCCCCCTCCTTTCTCCCACCCATTTCCTTCCTCCTTCCCCTGTATTTCTCTTCCCCTCTCTCCACCCCTTCCCCCCAAATTTCTCTTTATTTCTTTCTTCCTTTCTTCTCTCTCTCCTCTTTCTTCCCCCCTTTGCCCCCATATTTCTGTTTCCCTCTTTTCCTCTCTCCCCTTCCCTTTGTCCCCTCAATAGTAGGTTTTTGGACAGAAGACTGCCTAGCCCAAGGTTCAGTTGGCCATACAGTCAAGCCTCCGTAGGGCTTTCAGCCAGGCAGGCAAACAGCACTGATGCAAATCTTACTGCACCCCTGAACGGGAAATTCCTTGCATGGATACGGTGATGCAGCTGCACAGGTGGCTGAAATCCCTGGGTAACAGGGACCTAAAAATAAGGCTTTGCCCCGCCTCTCTGGCTAGAATTCCTCAAAGGGCAGGGGCAAATGCAAGGATAAGGGCTCAAGGAAGAAGTTATGCAGAGCCTGAAAGGGTGATAGTGCTAAGCCAGGCCTTGGGGAGGTGAAGAAGGGGAGCCTCAGGGATACTTAGGAAAACCAGACCCAGCCCAGCAAGGCTTTGCCTCCAGGGTGAGAGCTTAGTTTAAGGCCCCAGTGTTGCACTGCAGAGGAGGTCCCTTTTTATCCACTTGTGTGGGGTCAGATTAAACTTGATGCCGAATCTGAGGATGTGATGCACATTTTAATGCCCAAGCAAGGTGAGGGACTCATCCATCCACTTCTGCTGACAAAAAATCATTTATTTCTTGTAAGGTGCAAGGAGCAGCATCGATGCAATACCTCTACCCAGTTAACTTGAGGATGACCCAAATCTCAGGTGTTGTACGTGAATATTGAGAAGGCAGGTGTTGGCTTTTACCTTTATCAAGTTTAAATCAATGGTAAAATTAAGCCATAAAGATTAAATGCAGCTTTCTGGTCAGAAGGGTTTTGTAGCCCTTTTTTCTGTCTGTGTAATAAAGTGAGCTTGAGAGACTTTTAATTCATATTTAGGGAATTATTGTGAAAATTAAGGTGTAAGGGCTGTGACAGGAATTCCAGAAAATACATTTTCCTTGTCAATGTGAATTAATTAAGCATCGATGTACTTGACACTAAAATGAATCATGTCCACTTATACATAATAGGAAAATTCATTGTTGAAGAGATCCCACAGGACTGTGAGGCTGTGTGAGGGTTCAGGGCACGAGGAGACATTTTTCTATCCTGTTTCCCCTGTATTTGTGGCAGAGAAATCCCCCAGCTTTGCTGCTGGTGAGGTTTTGATGCCCGTTTCCACGATTTCTGGTAAATTTACTTTGTCCAGTCTGGGCTCCTCAGTACAGGAGAGACATGGAGCGGATCCAGTGGAGGGCAACGAGGATGACTGGGGGACTGGAGCATCTCTCATATGAAGAAAGGCTGAGGGAGCCGAGCCTGTTCAGCCTCGGGAGGATCCAGGTCTGTCAGTAACTGCAGGGAGGGTGTCCAGGCTCTGCTCGGTGATGCCCAGCAATAGTACAAGAGGCAACAGGCAGGAACTGATGCCCAGGAAGTTCCACCTGAGCACGAGGAAGAACTTCTTTCTTGTACAAGTGACTGCACACTGGAACAGATTGCCCAGAGAGGGTGTGGAGTCTCCCTCACCGGAGATACTCCAGAACCGTCTGGACACGATCCTGTGCCATGTGTTGTGGGTTGACCCTGCTTGAGCAGGGAGGTTGGACCAGATGGGACCTGCTGTGGTCCCTTCCAACCTCGCCCATCCTGTGACTCTGTGATGCTGTGACTTTCCTACAGCTCGGCGGGCAGTCCGGGGACCCCAGGGAGGAGCGGGGCTGTGGGAGCAGGAAGGGGCATGAGGGCAGCGAGCAGGGCCCCCCTGGACTCCGATTTTGGGGAAGGGGGGCGTGAGGGCAGCAGGCAGGGGCTCCCCTGAATCCCTTTTTCAGCGGGACTGTGAAAGCACCGCGCAGGGAGCCGCCGCATCCCGGTTTCGGGGGGCGGAGAGGGGGGGACGAGACGGCCCCGTCCTGCCCCTCAGGGCGGGGGGCGGCGGCGCATGCGCGGGGCGGGGGGCGGTGACGGGCGCGCCGGCGGAGGCGGCGGAGGGAGCGGGAGGGTCGGTCGGGGCTGCCGGGGAGCGGGGCCGGTCCGGCGCCGGTCCCGTCGGGTCCGCCATGGGGACGCAGGGTGCCGGGAGAAAGCGGCTGCCGAACCGGGAGCGCCTGACGGCGGAGGACGATGCGCTCAACCAGATCGCCCGCGAGGTGAGTGAGCGGCGTGAGGCGGCATCCCCCCTTCTCCCTTCTCCATCCTCCTCCCTCCCCTCTCTTTCCCCCCGGACTCCCCCAAGCGCCGCGCAGGCGCCCCTGGCCACAGACACCACGGCAGCTCAAGGGCGAGGTAAAAACCCGCTTTCACCTCCGTCTGTGTGACCGTTGCTGGGCACCGCTCCGGCTCTCGGTGCGGGGAAGGGCGTGCGGTGCCGGAGCCACCCCCGCTCCAGCGCCTCCGGGAGGGGACATCCATCGTCTGCTGCTGAGAACCACTGAGACTGGTGTTAACCACTGAAAATAGGCCGCTCGGGTGTGTTACGGATACTTAAAAATCATGGAGTCGCAGAATGGTTCGGGTTGGAAGGGACCTTAAAGATCATCTAGCTCCAAACCACTGCCGTGGGCAAGGACACCTTCCGCTAGAGCAGGTTGCTGCAAGCCCCATTCAGCCTGGCCTTGAACACTTCCAGAGATGGAAGTGAAAAAATAAAACTGGAATACTGTAGGCTGATGCTGGATGTAGGCATAATTGAACCCTCTAACTTGAAAACTGACGTATATTTATGTTGCTGGCCACTAGACACTGCATTGTGCTCAGTGTGACTTTAACCAGTTAAACCAGCTGATGGGCAGCTGCTTGCTGCCTCCTTGTTCTTCTTGGGTGCAGTTGCATTGGTTCGGTGGTAACCAGAATGATGTGAGTTCGGTTTTTATCTTTACTAAATCTGACACGGGTTGTTCTGTATCCTTTGTCCCACAGTCTTCCAATAGGAGAGATGGGCAACCCCAACCTGAGAGCGGGATAAGCAGCTCTGAGGTTGTTCTCTTGTACAGAATCTACAAGAAAGACGGAGAGAGACTATTTACGAGAGCATGTAGTGACAGGACAAGGGGAAATGTCATCACGCTGACAGAGAGTAAGTTTAGATTGGATATTAGGAAGAAATCCTTGACTGTGAGAGTGGTGAGGCACTGGCATAGGTTGCCAAGAGAAGTTGTGGAAACTCCCACCTGGGAGTGGGTGGCGCTCTGAACAGCCTGGTTTAGTGGAAGGTGTCCCTGCCCGTGGCAGGGGACTGGAACTAGATGAGCTTTAAGGCCCGTTTGAACCCCACCCATTCTGTGATTCACTGTGTCTAAGCTGCTCCAGTGCTGGTTGCTGCTGAAGGTGGCCATTTGCTTCCCCTAGTATGGGTTATGTGAGTCTCCTCGCCTGGCGTTGGTCTCACCCCAAGATGGGTTGTGAGATAAACAGCTCTTCTAGAAGAGATTTAAGTCTCTTGTGGTTTCCTTTCCTGAATCACAGTTGCAGCGGGATAAAGAAGGATGCTAATTTGTAGCTTATTTTTGGTGGCACTGCCTGGTAGGTTGAGTTAGCTGTAGCATCATGCACCATATTGTCAGTAATGCCTTTACTATTCTTGTGTACCATTTTGAAGTGGCTTGTAGCATCACTGGAAAACATGCAGTAGACTGATTTTTGTGTGAGTGATTCGGATAGCGTGTTTCCAGAAGGCAGATTTTTGTGGCAGTTTGATGAGAAGATGAGAAAGTTCCTGGGGATGGAGTTTGAGATAGGAGGACAAGGATATCTCATTGTCTGGACATAAAATAGCAAGAGTGATTGTGCTGTCTGTTAGAGTTTGTGTCATGATAATATCCTAAGAATTGTTTGGGGTGAGAGTTTAAATTCCATAACTGTGTCCTGGCTGTGCTGTCAGGAAAACATTGTAACAGAGGGCCTAGGTTGTCCTTTGTTGCACATTTTTCTCTCGCTTTCTCTTTTCTTTAACTTAGATCTGATTTTCACTGCATTGTGCAGTGGTTTGAGGCTCAAATATTGTGGTGTTTTGTGGTTTTTTTTTTCTTCTCCTGGGGTTTGTTTAAAGGACAACTCCATTTGTTCGAAAAGCCCAACACAAGCATGTCTTTTATCTTTTCCCTTGAGTGCTAAAACTGTGAACTGCCAAGTTCAAGGTTCAGCATTTTCCCATATTATTTTAACTATTTCCATTACTCTGTCTCTGGGTTTTATGCACTTATTATTGTTTTGTTGTTTAACCACCTGTTTTCCACACAGAGGATCCCACAAAGGATTGCTTCTGTATGATCTTAAAATTCTTAAAAAATGTAGATTAAGCCTTTTGTCCCTTCCTAATAGGGATGCTGATAGTCCTTATGTTAAGAAGGGTATAAGGGTTACTGACATTTGGTCTCTTGTAGCCTTCCTCACAGGTGTTCAGACAAAGCTGAGACATAGACATGTTGTGTTTGCACATAGGTTTTCACTCCTCTCTTTCCTTTGGTCTTTGCTGTCCAGAAGACAGAGGTGCTTGCAAGTTATTTGCAGATCCTAGAATCTCATTTTTCCTATGTTAAGATAGGAGCCTAAAAGAGCATCCAAACCAGACTGATCCATGGAGGTGCTTTTACCTTGGGATCCTGCGGAGCGAGCTGAAATACATACATCTTCTCTCCTTTTGGTTTTCCTCCAGAAAGATTGTGCTGCTTTGACACTTTCCAGTTTTATTTTGTGATCGTCAGCGTATCTTGACAAATCCACCATTCTTGCTCTACTGCGTGCTTCTATTAGGAGACGGGACTTGTAAGGACTCTTAAACTCCTGCCATTTGAAGCATGATTTATTTTTTTTAATTTTTAGCCAGCGTGTCTTGCTGTGCATGTGCAGTCTTGCGTAGACGGAGGGAGAGCCTGGTGTGGTGAGGAGGGCAGCCCTCGCCCCGCGGGACGCAGGAGCGGTCGGTCCGGAGGGGAAGTAACTAAGCAAGTGGAAGGAAATTGTAAGAGTGAAGCACATTATAGTGACAAGGGCTTAGTAGCAGTATTAGTTGTGTTAATCAGTAGTAGTAAGTATTAATGTTTGAGACAGTGTCTGAACTGGATGAGCTGCATGTAGTTCATCGCCTCGTCTAGACCTAATTAGAAGGGAGGTAGAAGGCACAGTGCTGTACCGCTAAATCTGGCGGCGGAGTTCCTGGCAGACGTGGTAATTAAGTGGATGGCAAATATGTAAATATAATTAACAGGAGAACACGGTGTGCTGGGTTTCTAACAGCCACAGACAGCTGCCACTCAGGATTTGCTGTACACACACCTGGCTTGTATTGCTGAGCTTGTTTTTTCCCGGGTGTCAGCTCTTGTAGATGGCAGCGAAGCAGATCAATGATCGGCTGCTCCGCTTTCGGACTCGCATTGACGCCAGTAGATTATTCTGTGTTTAGGTCAATGGAAACTTTTGGGCTGTTTTGTTCCTCGGTGAGTGCATGCCAGCAGTGTTTGCAAAATCTAGCAGTTTGATACTCTTCAAGGTCTGTGCCAGCACAGCCAGCGGGAATCGCGTCCGCGTACTGCGCAATCATCTGTCGGGCTGGTGCATGCGTGGTTCGGGAAGGCAGAGTCCTGGGCTGCTGAACCTTACAGGAGCTGGCTTCCCGCTTGGATTACATGGGTTTGATATGATTACTTGAGACACTGTTCCTAGGGGAATATTTTTCTCGCTAACTTCCACTACAGTAATAATTGTTACACGAGCAGAAGGAGTTTTGCAAATCCAACAAGGAACTGCCATCTGTGTCAATGAGGTATTTTTCTCACAGGCAGGGAATATTAGTCACTGGTTTTTGTTTTCTTGAATGAGGAAGAGAAGGTCAATTTCTTGTTTTTATTAGGAAAGTAATTGACACCTTGTTTTGCCACTGTTTTGCAAACAAGTGTGTTATACTGCTCGGAAAAAACAGTCCTGCCCTGTGTCATCCCTGTGCTAGAAATCTTTTTCATCCGTGATTTTACAGTGTAGAACTCTTTAGCTAGTAATTAATTTGAAATTAGTAATTCAAGCAACATAATTCATTTTTATTGTTAAAGAAAGTAGTGTTATGACGGTTGTGTCTTCATTCTTTGTACACTCTTATGTCACTTTCAAGAATTGTCACCTACGTACTTGTACATACCTCAATATTTTTTTTTGATAACTGCAACAATCAGTTTATGGGTCATTAATTTGGTTGTTTCACTGAAGTGTTTAGTTTGGGCATTAGCTTGTATGCCTAGTGATTCAAAAATTAGAATGTTACACTCTTGTGAGGAGCAAAACGCGTTGCTGATTAGAAAAAGCTCAAAATGCAGGTGAAGCCAGCCAACCAGTAAAATAATGATTACAGTAAGAAGGTATTAAGGAACTTCAAAAGCCTAAGTTGGAGTTTTGGGGCTAGTGGAGAGATGCTGTGATCAGGGAATGTGAAATCTTTTTAATTGACGGGATAATTTGGGGGAGAGATCTCTGGTTTATACAGAATTTTGGGTGACTTCCTTATGTAGAGATGGAAACAATTTGATGAAAGTCGAAGCTAAACCAAGCAGAATGGATATTTATATGAGCAAACACAAGCCACTCAAACTTTATTGAACTGTTATGCAAACCAGAGCATTTAAAGCAGCGTGTTCCCTAAGGATATAGGAGATAATGCCCATGTAAGATCTGTGTTCCTCTTTTATAGTGGTGGAACTTTTTCGAACGGTATTTGGCATTACAGATGTGTGAAGGCTTTTGTAAGCCAGATGAATATTCCAAGAGAAGCCCTTAGAAACAGTCTAGCTTATGTAGAGTCAGTACTTATTTTTTTATTGTATTACTTTCTGCCTTTCTGAGGGTTAACATATGATGTGAAGAAGCATGTCTGACTGTAAGTCTCTCTTCTAGAACAGAAAGTTATGAAAGCAAGGGATGCTCTTGGAGGGCTTGACTCAGCCCGGCTGACCTAAATATAGGAAGGAAGGAGGACTTTGTAGGCGATGCTTGCCAGTAGGGCGTGGGGAATTGTTCCAAATTTGAGATGATTTTATGTAGCAAATATGTTCTTCATCAAACACTCCTTTTTTACTAATGTTTTACGTCTGTATATCCAACAAATGGCATTGGCATCACTTACAGTCTTTTCCAAAAGAAATGTGTGAAGGAGCAGCTCTGGATG